AAAATTTGGGAGTCAAACTTGTCTAGAAACAACCATTTTCTCTGGGGAGGTTCTCACAAGAAAGGAGTTCCCTAAACAGGCACCAGTGTTCAGGTTTCCCACATCACCCTGACAGGTACACACTGCTGCTTTAAGTCCTTTCATTTACATCACTTTGTCTCATTGTCACAATAATCTGAGGAGGTGGCAGATATATCAGGGGTTTTATAGTCATTCCTGCTGTTGCACTAGGAAACGTGGGCTTGGAGAGCTCAGTAACTGGCCAACGTCACCCAGAGAAGAATGGCTGAGCCAGGACAGAACTCACACTCTGCTTCAAGGCTTCAGTCTGTCTTAATCCATGTGATTTACTTCACCTAACCACTAAACAAATACAAACCCAAAGGTTCAAACCTGGAAGTAAAGACAGAACATAGTTATTCACAAAAAGTATTTTATTGAGTTGGGCTTCAGTTCAAAATATTAGAAAGTCTGGGTGGTCATTCAATGGGAGGATGGGAGTCCATAAAATAAACAATGACTCCAATTTGAGTATGAACCCCACAGTATAATTTTAAAATATCTGTAAGGACTAGAAATTATTTTTTATAAGATCACTTTTCCATTCTATAACTACAGATTATTGACACAGCATCTCATGGTTTCTATTATTTTCTCATTGTTTCTTTAGCTAAAACAGTTCCTTTCAAAGTGTCACTTTTCATAAACAGGTTATCATTTCTTAAATGAAGTCTCTAAGGAATGTGGAGACAGTATCATAGTCCAGGAGGGATGCAAGCCAAGAGTCAGAATTATGAGTTCCTGTCTGCTCTATCAGAGGCAGAAGGTTTGACGCCCGGGAACAACCACTCTCAGCAATTTGTCATTGCCAAGATATTCAGTTTTCAGACTCTAGCCAATGTTCTTGGTGCCTCTCCACTATTCCTCCAGCATGTTTTTTTGTTATTATTGTTCTTGGGGAAATTTTAATAAAGTGGAAATGTTTATAATCTAAAGTTAGGTGAAAACATTGGATGCAAAAACCTCATACAGTATAATCCTGGTTTTGTAATACCTATGCAAATGATAGAAAACACTAAAAAGTTTACCAATGAATTGTGACTGGTAGAACAATGAGTTATATGTCTCTAATTTCCCCCTTTCTACATATCTTCTTTAAAAAATAAATATGACATTTTATACATCAAAAATGATGAGTCCTTATTCCAAAATTCACCTTCCTAAGAAACAATGAAGGCTGGAGAAAAACTGTCACAAAACTTCCAGAAACCTAATAAGACTAAAGGAAATTCACTGCAAATCTTAGCCAGTGCTATCCAAGATTATAGCCATCAGGCTGCTCTGCCTATTTAAGTTGAAATTAATTCAATGTCAGATACTGTCCCTGAATTGCGCTAGTCCCATTTCAATGGCTCAATAGATACATGTCCAGTCATAGAATATTCCATCATTGCAGAAAGCCATGTTAAACAGTGCTCCTATAGAAAACAGCCATGAAAAAAAGAATCTCTAAATTCAGGGAGGGAAAACAAAGCATTGAGACACTGAACAAAGAAACCCTAATTAAACTTCTAAATATCCCACTGTATTGGTGACTCTCAAAATCTAGGCTGCATCACAAATGTAACGGATAAAGGACACCTAAGGGCATCATCCTAGATTCTGATTCAGCAACTTTGGAGTTGAGTTGAGCCATAGAATTTGCATTCCCCACCCTCCTGGGATGAAACCCAGGGCCCTGCAGTACT